CTACTCTAGGTGTGGGGCAGGTTGCTACACACACACACACACACACACACACACTCACACACTCACACACACTCACACACACACACACTCACACACACACACACACACACACCTGTGCCTGTTGAGGCTCCAGCCCCGCCATGGGAAAGGCAGGCTGCAAGAGGTGAGGAGGGTGGGCAGGGAGGTTAGGAGCAATAGCTGAAAGGGAAGTCAGGCCTGGGGGGCCTCCCCTCTCCCCAGGAGAAGGAGCCGGAAGCCTGAGTTCTGGGTGCAAGCCTGCTCTGTGCTCGGCTCACGGCAGCCCTCCCCACAGCCCGCACCGGGGGGCCGGGCAACATCAAGACACTCGGCGATGCCTACGAGTTTGCCGTGGACGTGAGCGACTTCTCCCCTGAGGACATCATCGTCACCACGTCCAACAACCACATCGAGGTGCGCGCGGAGAAGGTGAGCTGCCCGCCCGCCCGGACCCCAGGCTCTGCCCCTGCACCCTCTGCCCAGTGTCCCTACTCCCATGTCTCGTCCTGGGACCCCAGACTCTATCCCATGTCCCTCCAAGACCCCAGGGCACATTGGAGACCTTGCTCTTGTAGCTCGTGGGCCGCAGGATCCCCGTTACTGCCTCTCTCTGCCCCGAGATCCGTTTTCCAGGAGCCTGGGCAGCTGAGAGGGCCCCAGGGGAATGGGAGGGGGGAGGGATGCAGGCAGGGGGCACCTGAGCCGTGAGGTGAGAGAGGGAGATGGTGGTTGAGTGAGGACAGCTGAGTGAGGACAGGTGAGTGAGGACAGCTGAGTGAGGACAGGTGAGTGAGGACAGGTGAGTTGGGGACTCACCTGGACAGCTGCGGGAAGAGCTCCCCCACATGACACCCCTCAAGCCCTCTTCCCTCTGGGCTCCAGAGGCCCAGCCTCCAACCTGGGACCCCTGAATTAGAGTCCTTGCCATTCAGGATCCCACACTCCAAACCCCACGCTCCCTCTACCCACGGCTCTCAGGGTCACTGGGTCACTAGCCCTCGGAGGAGGGTGTGCCGCAAGCTGAACCTGGATGCTGCCCGCAGTGGGCCACAGCCACAGGTGCCCCATAAAGGAGAGGGGCTGCCCACAGCTCTGCCAGAGCCCCCAGGGCCCGGCTCCCTCCCTGAGCGCAGGATGCTAGGTGCCTGGGCACCCTGTCAGGGAAGCCAAGGACTGTGGGCACCAGGACCAGTGGGCAGCATGTGCCAGCCCTGCCACTCCCGCCAGTGACTCAGCCACCCCAGGCTCCTCTGGACACTATGTGCTGACCAAGCCGTGGGGGAAGGGCCACCAGCCCAGCCCTGACCGTGGAGACCCAGCGGGTCTAGGTGTCCAGAGGGCCCGACTCGGCCCTGTGCCAAGCCCCCTGCCTGCCCATTGGAACCCTCAGCACCTGTGCACCTGTCCCTGCATAGCCCTGGGCCTGAGGCCACCATCATCCTGGGCAGACCCTGCACCAGCCTGAGAGCAGACCCCTCAGCGGGAGGGGCCCGCTGGACTTGGACGGGGGAGAAGGGGCTGGGGCTTGACATGAGCCGGACAGGGGTACAGGGCAGCCGGCCCTGACCCAGCTCTCTCCCCCCCAGCTGGCAGCTGATGGCACAGTCATGAACACCTTCGCTCACAAATGCCAGCTGCCCGAGGACGTGGACCCCACTTCCGTGACCTCGGCCCTGAGGGAGGACGGCAGCCTCACCATCCGGGCGCGGCGACACCCGCACACAGAGCACGTCCAGCAGACCTTCCGGACAGAGATCAAAATCTGAGGGCTGCCCTTCCCCTGCCCTCCCCGACTCCCCCTCCCCCCCCCTCCCCCCACCCCCCACAGTGCCACTGGCCTGCCAGACTTTTCCTAACCCCTCATAACCCCTCATAAGAGCTGCCAGGACATCTCAGCCCGGTTCCCAGCCCTAACACCCCCAGACCCCAGGTGGGTCACCCCACCCCAAAACGGAGGCCTTCTGCTCTGCCCAGGACAGGACAGGGGCCCCCTTGCCTTCCAGATGTGGCCTCTCACTTAGTGCAGAACAAAGGGATCGGGGTGGGGAAGGAAGATCCAGAGAGGCCACTTGGGAAGGAAGCTGCGGAGAGGCAGGGTCTCTGGGCAAATAATCTGCAGGACAGACGGACAGCAGCTCCGCTGCCCTGCAGAGGCTCTGCCAGGCAGGGGCGGGGAAGGGCACTGGGACCCCCTTGGCAAGAGGAGCAGGAGAGGCAGGTCCCGGGGGCACAGGGAGGCCAGGAGACAGCCATGATGGAAACCTCCCCTTTCCACTCTCTAAGCCCCAAACCAGCTGCCTGCCCACCTGGAGCGCCCAGCCAGCCAGCTGTGCCAGGGCATTTGTATACAGATGGGGTTTTTCCAATACAGCTGGTTCGTGACAAACGGTGTGAAACTCCTGCCATCTGTTACCTGCTCGTGCCCCCAGGCCAGGCCAGGCCAGGCTGAGGGGTGCGGCTGGTCCTCCCCCTGCCCCCAGGCCGGGCTCCTGGGACTGCCTCCATGCAGATGGATCACCGACCCCATGACCCCATGTGGGAGAGAGACCGTGGGTGGGGCTTTGGGTCTTAAGGTCAGACCAGTGTCTGGCCAACCTTCGCCATGGCCAGTCCTTCCCCCTCTTCAATCTATGAATCTATAGGTTTGGTGTGTGTATACCGCTCGGGGACACACACCTGCCGGCCTTCAAATCCTAAGCATTACCATTGGTTGAGTCCAAATTCAGAACATTCTAAAGTCAGATCCAATCTCCATATTTATCAGGGGGGAAGCTGAGTCTGAGCAGGTGGCTGCCCAACTTGCTCACGAACATAAACCCAGGAAGTCCGAGGCTCCTCTCAAAGCGCCCCCCTCCGGGTACCGGGAAGTAGTTCCCCCTCTCTGCCTCTCTCGGCCTTTGCCTCTGTCCCCACATCTTCCTGCTGGAGAAAGCCCCCAGCCAGTTCCCTCCTGTTCCCCAGGCCAGGGAGGGGCTCAAGCAGCCTTCATCTTGGGGAGCCTCAGCTGCCCGCCATGACCCTGGCTCCGTTTCCACATACAAAACCAGGGGTAAGGGGAGGGTGCGTCATAGGGTAGGGTGGCCTCTCGCCTGCCATTCTGGGGTCCTTAGGGGACAGTTCGGGGGGAGAAGGGCATGGGAGGGTCCTGGCATTGTACCCTGCGCACATAATAAACGACAGAATCCCAGACTTCTGGAGACCACCTGCCTGAAGTTGTCACATTTGGGGTGGGTTTGGAGGCAGCTGGGGTGGGAAACCCCAGGATAAACAGACATGCCTTCCTTGAAATGTTGGGGTGCGGGTAGTAGCTCACGCAAAGCTCAAGACCTTACAGAAATGTGGTTGTCCTTTGGCCTCCTCCCTTGGCTTCCAGACCCACCCGGGCCGGATGTGGAATTATTTCTGTGAAGAGCCTTGCAGTGCCTTCTTTTCCAACTGCCAGCCAGCACCTGCTGCCCAGGCCAGGCACAGTCCCAGGTGCAGGAACACCAAAGGCCGGTCAGCTGCACCGGGTCCCTGCCTTCTGGAGGCCTATCTCTTGCCAGACGGCCATTGAGGATCAGAGAGGCTGAGTGATTGGCCCAGGGTCACAGAGCTGAAACCTGGCTGGGGTGTTGGCTAGTTGAGGAGTCTGGGTGCTCTCTGGAGAGACCCCCTGCCCCCATACGCACCCCACACCTACCAGGTGATACTGAAATCACTGCCAGGCACTGGCCCCCTGCAGCTGGAGCTGCTAGCAGGAGGAGGGGAGGGAGAGGGGGCGTGGTATTTCCAGCCGAGGTGACTCACGGATTCCACTGGGCTATTTGCAGCCTCGACACTCATCAGCCCGAGGTTTGGGGGAGGAGCCGGACCAGCCCCCACCCTTCCTCAACTCCCACCTGCAGGGTCAGGCTCACCTTGGTGTGGGGACCCCAGTGAAGCCCCCCATCCTGGGCCGGGCTGGAGTGAGCTGGGCCGCCGGCAGCCCTGGCTGGAAAAGGAGTCAGCTCTCCACGTGGTCAATGGGGCCGAATACTTGCCACCCCCAACCCCCAGGCCCCAGCAGCCCCCTCCCCAGACTGCGGTTGGGGGATGAGGGTCGTGCAGAGGACAGAGTGCCAGCTGGGGACTGGACACGCCCAGGCTGAGGGAGCCTTCCAGCCAAGGTGACCCTATGGAAGAGGAGGGCCGGGAGGAGGGAACGCAGGCTGCCCACTTTCGTCGGCTCCGCCCCCTAGGCCTGGGACTGGTGGCAACCCTTTGTCTCCTAGGACCCCCCACCCTTTCCAGGCTAAATATAGGCCTGGCTGAGGGCCCTGCGCCCCGCCCCCCACCCTGTGCGGAATAATTATAGCAGCCCCATTCATTGAGAGCCCAGAGTGTGCCAAGCACGCTGCTCATCCCCACAAAAATCCTGCAAGGTGGGTACCAAGGGGGACAGGCAGGTTCAAAGAGGTCAAGCAACAGGCCCAAGGTCACCAGCTTGGAAGCGGCATGGCCGGGATTTGAATCCTTGGCTGTGGCTCTAGTCCTCTGCAGCCCTGGCCCGTGTGGCTCAGTTGGTCAAATGTTGTCCCATCCACTGAGAGGTCATCAGTGGATTCCAGGTTGAGGCACGTGCCCAAGTTTCCACCTTGATCCCCAGTAGAGGGCATGCAGGAGGCAGCTGACTGATGTTTCTCTCTCTCTCTCCCTCTCCCTCTAAAAAACCAATAGCCCTAGCCGGTTTGGATCAGTGGATAGAGCATCGGCCTATGGCCTGAAGGGTCCTGGATTTGATTCTAGTCAAGGGCACATGCCCGGGTTGCGGGCTTGATCCCCATTGCGGGGCGTGCAGGAGGTGGCCAATCAATGATTCTCTCTCATCATTGATGTTTCTATCTCTCTCTCCCTTTTCCTTCCTCTCTGAAATCAATAAAAATATTTTTTTTAAAACATACATTTAAAAAAATCAATAAAAAGCATATTTTTGCCCTGGCTGGTTTGGCTCAGTGTGGACTGAAGGGTCCCAGGTTCGATTCTGGTCAAGGGCACATGCCCAGGTTGTGGGCTCAATCCCCAGTGGGGCTGTGCAGAAGACAGCCCATCAATAATTCTCTTTCGTCATTGATGTTTCTATCTCTTCCACTCCCTTCCTCTCTGAAATCATTAAAAAATATATTAATTAAATAAAAAAAGCTAACAAGCTTCAGTAAAGAGTGGAGGGTCAGTCATAAACTCTGGCGCCACATAACCTGGGTTCAAATTTTGGCTCTACTTTTTCTGAACTGTGTGATCTTGAGCAAGTACCTTAACCTCTCTGTGCTGAAATAAAATGGTGCTAATAGGGTCTACCTGTTAGAATTGTTTTGTAATGCATGTGTTAATGTAAAAAAAAAAAATAACAACAACAAACATTCAAACCTGTAAAGAATTTTTGTCAGTTTATTTGAGCCAAACTGTTGACAACTGTCAGGATGAGATAGTGCTCCGGAGAATGGCAGTTTTCATCTTGTTTTATGCGTTACCATCAAAGGAGAAGACATAGGTGGGTTACATGAAATCCATTGGTGATAGATTAGGGAGGCGGGAGAAAGCAAATCAGGGAAACCTCTGGGATTGGATAAAAAGTAAAATGATAGACACATGCTTCTTGTACACAGGTGGGCATCCGATAGTTAACAGTCAACAATTAACACAAGAACAAGAACAAGGAGGGAATCTGTAGGCTCCGCCAGGGCTGTGCTCTGGAGGGGTCCGGAAAAAGGGAAGTACAAGCTGCCCTGACATTCCACAGGTATGTTATCTTAGATGCAAAACAACAGTAGGCTCAGTAAAGATCCAAATTGACCTTTGTCAGGGAAGACACTGGCCTAGGACATGACTACCCACTACAGTGATGGCGAACCTTTTGAGCTCGGCGTGTCAGCATTTTGAAAAACCCTAACTTAACTCTGGTGCCGTGTCACATATAGAAATGTTTTGATATTTGCAACCATAGTAAAACAAAGACTTATATTTTTGATATTTATTTTATATATTTAAATGCCATTTAACAAAGAAAAATCAACCAAAACAATGAGTTCGCCATCACTGCACTAGACACTGCTTGTTAATTAAAGGTTTTAATTTCAGACCATCCTCTGTGGTTACTTGAGGTCTCTTGAGTTTGCATGGCCGCCATGCAGGCCTTTCCTGAGTTAGTCAGGTTAGCATGTGGTCCCTTTTCATCCACACATGTAAAAAAAGCTTTGGCATTTGGTTAAAAAAAAAAAAAGCTTTGGCACTTGGTAGTGACATAGCTCACGTATGCCGCGCACTGAAATGCCCAGTAGGGCTCAGATACCGGTATTTCATATAGATTTGGATCCCGATATCCCCAGCCTCACGCACTCTCCCTGGTGCCATTGGGACCAAGACATGGGCGGGGGATGGGGGGTGGGGGGTGGCGGGAGGGGTCAGGGGAGCTGCCCTAGTGCCTGGGTCTTCTCTCCAGGAAAAGCAGGTGAGGGCAGAGCTAAAAGGTTCCCTGGCCCCCCAGTAGAGCCTGTCGGGGCCCCAGGGGTGGAGGTGGGGAGGGAACCTCCCAAGCCTTAGTCCCCTCAGCCATAAACAAAGATCAGATGGCACCTCCCAGGGCAGCTGTGAGGAAGCTGAGAGAGGTGATGTTTTAGTATAAGCTCAATAAATGCTAAGCTCTTGTTAAAATTGTTGTTTTCCGAACAAGGAAATCAAAGATTCCACCCACACTGGCTCTGCCCTCAAACACGGTAGGGTCCTGAGGGGCTGGGTGTCTTCAGCCGGCTGGATGGGGGAGCAAGGCCAGGGCCTCTGGGCAGGGGCGGGGGGGCTGTTTACTGTCAGCACAGCTGGCCTGGGGCTCACTGCCAGCACCAGCCAGGCCGGTCCCCCAGGGCCTGCATCCAGGCACAGCCTCCAGGAGAGTGTGGGGGCTACTAGACTGGGAGGGGGCCCTCTGGGTGCCTCCCCGAAGGACAAAAAGCAGGGCTGCTGGCCCCAGGGAGCCAGAGAGGAGAGGTAGGTCTGCCCTTTCCTCCCTTCCTCCCTTCTCGCACAGTTCCTGACCATCTAGTGCCCCAGGCACTTTAAGGCACTGTGGACTGGACTGCTAACTTAAAACTAAAAAGGCCTTTCGAAGTGAGAGGCAACAGGTATTTATTTCAATTCCAGGTCAGGGCACGTGTCCAGGTTTCAGGTTTGATCCCTAGTAGGGGGCATGTAGGAGGCAGCCAATCAATTATTCTCTCTCATCAATGTTTCTATCTTTCTCTCCCTCTCCATAAAATCAGTAAAAACATACTTTTAAAAATAAAATTATCTCATTGGAGCATTTGAGATCTTGCTTCTCAAATAAACTCTTATAAACATTCTCTACATACATACATACATACATACATACATACATACATACGTACATACACACATACATAAAATGTCCTCATTTATTTATTTTTGATGGGACATGGTCCTGAATTAAGCATGGATGCCAACCTAGGGACACATTCACTTATTCACCCTTTTACTCACTGGTTCAATAAAGCCTATCATTTATTATTTTTAAAAAATATATATTTTTATGATTTCAGAGAGAAAGGGAAAGAGAGATAGAAACATCAATGATGAGAGGGAATCACCAACCAGCTGCCTCCTGCACGCCCCACATTGGGGACTGAGCCCACAACCTGGGCATGTGCCCCGATGGGGAACCAAACTGTGACCTCCTGGTTCATAGGTCGATACTCAACCACTGAGCCACACCGGCAGGGTTAAAGTCTATCATTTATTCATTGGTTCATTCCCTCAACAGGTTTTCGGTAAGTCCATACAGTATGGTCTGTTGTTAAAGCTCTGAGTTCCAAATTACTTCCATTTCTAGCCTGACTCTGCCATTAACTAGCTGTGTGACCAGCTGCTTAACCTACTAGAGCCTCAGTTTCCTTGTCTGTAAAATGGAATAGCACCTCATAGGACTGTGCTGAAGAGACTAACTGAGCTATTCTCCTCCATCTCAATAGGGCCCCCCTCACCTGTTCAGCCCAGACACTCCTTACATGCTGCCAGGCCCTAGGCTGGGTCCTTGGAAATTCTTCATTCTTCCTTCATTGGCTCATTCAACAAATGTGGACGGAGTGCCTACAGCAGAGCATGGGGTCACGATGCTGTGACAACAGGTGTGTAGTCACACTGCCTGGGGTTTGGATTCGGGCTCTGCCTCTGTCTGAGTCGGTGACCTCGGGCACATCACTTCCTCTCTCTGGGCCTCAGTTTCCTCATCTGTATAATGGCAATAAAAATTGCACCCACCTCACAGGTCTGGTGGGAAAGGAACTTGAGGCAGGTGGTGCACCTAAAAACATCAATAGTCATTATTGCAGATGAAAGGGGTATTGGTTAGAATGAAAGTCTGGCTTCTGAATACATGGACCCCCCGCTGAGCCCCTGTGCCCCGGGCTCTGGCTCCCTGCCCAGCAGGTTCCCACCTTCCCCAGCCAGGCAGGCCAGGTGCCCTCCAGTCTGATGATAGGGCGACACCTGCTGGTGAAAAGGTAGATGTGCAGCCAAAGGCTTCACGCTTTTCCTCAAATTCCCTTTGTCAGTTGTCTCTGGGCTCTTCTAGCCCAGTGATTCTTTTTTGTTGTTTTTGTTTTGCTTTGTTTTCTTTTATTTTGGCCCACTGATTCTTAGCGAGGAGGAGAGAGAGGAAGGGACCTATGTTGTCCAGATTATTCTGTCCCCACCTCTCTAGGCCAAACCATCTCCTCCTTGCCTGAATTAGGGGGCAGCTTCCTTAATCCCAGCCCAAGAACTACAGGAAAATTTTTTAAATTTATTTTTTATTTTTAAACTATGTTTTTATTTATTTTTTTTAATATATGTTATTGATTTTTTACAGAGAGGAAGGGAGAGAGATAGAGAGCTAGAAACATCCATGAGAGAGAAACATCCATCAGCTGCCTCCTGCACACCCCCTACTGGGGATGTGCCCGAAACCAAGGTACATGCCCTTGACCTGAATCAAATCTGGGACCCTTCAGGCCACAGGCCGACGCTCTAGCCACTGAGCCAAAGTGGTCAGGGCATGTTTTTATTGATTTTTAGAAACAGAGGAAGGGAACGGGATAGAGAGATAGAAACATCGATAAGAGAGGAACATCATAGATTGGCTGCCTTCTGCATGCCCCCTACTGGGGATCAAGCCTGCAACCAGGGCGTGTGCCCTGACCAGTAATTGAACCAGCGACCTCTTGGTTCCTGGGTCGGCATTAAACCACTGAGCCACACTGGTGGGGCTAGAGGACATTTTTAAAAAGGTAGGTGTGGTCTTGTCACTCTGCTCACAATTTCCAGTGGTCCCATCTCAGAATAAAATCGAAAGACCTCATTGTGACCTGCAAGGCCCCACATAACGTGGCCCCTGCCACTTCTCTGGCCTCTCTGCTCATTTCATGTGTGTTCTTTGCTGGAGAAGAAGCACCTCTGTGGTGGGGGCCCATCTGTTTTGTCACTGCTCCGTCCCAGCTCCTAGCACAGAGCCTGGCACCCAGCAGATGCCCAATTAATACTTGGTGAATGAATGAATGAATGAATGAATACCCCAGCCAGACTGACTGTATGCTCCAGGTCCTCCTTCCTGGAACACTCCCCACCCCTGCCTCCTTGCCTTTGTATGTTTCACTCACTGGTCAGATTTTAGCTTAGATGTTATTTCCTGCAGGAAGCCTTCCCTGATTTCCTCTCCCAAAGTGAGCTGGACACCCTCCTCCAGCCCCAACAGCATTCTGTGTGCCCTATTGTTGCATTTATCAGAAGCTATGGCAATTAATAGTCACCTTTCTTGACTTCCCCACCAGGCTGTGAGCTCCAAGACAGGGTTAAGTCTGTTTTCTCTGAATCCCCTCTGCCTAAGAGACCTTACTAGGATGAGAGGCCCTTGACCCTATGGTTAGGAGCAAGAACTTGAGCACCAGGCTTTCTTTTTTTTAATTGGTATAATTTGGGGGTTATTATTATTATTAATTATTGATTCTAGAGACAGAGGAAGGGAGAGGGAGAGAGAGAGAGAGAAACACATGTTCTCATCCCAACTATATTAGTCCATGGGGACTTGAGTGGGTCCCTCAACCTTTCTGTGCCTCAGTTCCCTAATCTGTGAAATGGGTACAAAAATAGGGCATCCCCATACTGGCACAACGAGGATGTTGTTTCCCTGGCACAGAGCAAATGGTCGATACATGTTAGCTACTATTTGTAGGAACCTGGTAAAAACAGTCAATGAATAAATAAGTGAACATTCAGCCATTTTAATCTGAGAGCCTTGAGACACTTCCTCTTAGACCTACATATACCCTCACACACACCAGTGACCACACTGCACTTCCTGCTGGGGAACCTGACTGCCCTATGGAGCAGAAACCCCCTTTTTTGTGTGTTTCTAGGGGGACAGCATGAACCTGGTATGCAGTAGATGCTCAATAAATAATATCTTACTTTATTTGTTCAAATATGATACTCCCTTCCCTTTTGCACACTTCCGCTCCCTCTTGAGGAGCCAGTTCCCTTCATTAACTCGGGTTGCCAGACTCCACCTAAGTTCTGCTGGGTCTCGTGCCCTTGGGTGACCCGTATACTTGTACGTGAGCCAAGACGACAGCAGCCAGCGTGTGCGCTGGGGCGTCCTGACGCCATTCTGGTCTGCCCTGGGTAAGATGCCAGCCCGGTGGCCCTGGGAGGGTGGCTCACAGTGCTCGCTCCTTCTCGCTTTTTATTTATTTTTTAATTACATCTTTAATGTGGAAAAGTATTACATATGTCCCCCTCGCTCCCCCACTGACCCAGTCCCCCGCCCCAGGCCTTCACCACCCTATTGTCTGTGTCCATAGGTTATACCTATACATACAAGTTCTTTAGTTGATCTCTTCCCATCCACCTACCCACCCCTGCCTTCCCTCTGAAATTTCGCAGTCCCTTCCATAATTCTACGTCTCTGGATCTATTTTGTTCATCAGTGTATTTTGTTCATTAGATTCCACATCTGAGTGAGATCATGTGATACTTGTCTTTCTCTGACTGGCTTATCTCGCTTAGCGTAATATTCTCCAAGTCCCGCCATTCTGTCTCAAAGGGCACGAGATCCTTCTTTTTTTACTGCTGAATAGCATTCCATGGTGCAAATGTACCAGTTTTTTTTATCCCCTCATCTACTAATGGGCCAACCCCCTCCTGCCATGGTCAGGCTGTTCCAGTTAATCTGCCTGCCCACAGACACAGGAGGAGAAAGCTTTGAGCAAGCCCATGACTGTTTCCCAAGCCAAATACCTTGTAGGCATTGTCTTTAAGGGGCTCCCCTTGGCTTCAGGGGCCCCCTGGGGGCATAGTGGGCTGAGTGGGGAGGAAGCTGGGGCCACAGTCCCTCTGCAGGGTGGCAGGGTGCCCCTGGCCTGGGCAATGTGCCCCCCACCCAGGATGGCCTCCTGAGTCAGAGGGGGCTGGCTGTCCCCATAGAACAAGATATAGGTCTTCATTGGAGGGGTGACAGGTCCTAGGTAAGGACTGGGGGCTTGGGGTGGCACAAGGGGTGCTGCCAGGGAGAGCTGCTTTCCACTAGCACAGTCGATGACGAAAGTTAGGTGAGCTGTGGGCATGGCCTTCTCCTGGTGAGCTGTGTGCACGGCCTGATGGTGAGCTGTGGGCATGGCCTTCTCCTGGTGAGCTGTGGTCACGGCCTTCTGATGGTGAGCTGTGGGCACGGCCTTCCGATGGTGAGCTGTGGGTACGGCCTTCTCCTGGTGAGCTGCGGGCACGGCCTTCTGCTGGTGAGCAGCGGGCACGGCCTTCTGCTGGTGAGCTGTGGTCACGGCCTTCTGATGGTGAGCTGTGGGCACGGCCTTCCGATGGTGAGCTGTGGGCACGGCCTTCCGATGGTGAGCAGCGGGCACGGCCTTCTGCTGGTGGGCCGGCTTCCCACCTAGAAGGAAGGCAAAGACCAAAGGTTGTGTTAGCACAGGGATGTGGTTCTGTTCATTCATCTGTTGAACCACATGTTCATTCATCCCACAGGCACTGACACACGTACATGGAAAGAGTGGGGTCTAAGGGCCTGGACTTCAGCCTCAGAGAGACCTGACTACATCCTGCTTCCCCTGCTCAGCCATCTGCCTCCCAGAAGCAGGGACCACTTCCTGGGAGCTTCTCGTCTTTACTGTGCACACAGATGGCCCGGCATCTTGTCCACAGGCAGATTCTGGAAGGGTGGGTCTGGGGTGGGGCCTGAGGCCCTCAGGGAGCACCATGCGGCCCTCCCCCTCCCCACATCAGACCAGAACCTCAGAGAACACCTTAGTGCCTGGTCCCCTTTGCCCCAAGGATTCCTGCTCTGTGCTTCCCTCCCAACACAGAGCCCAGCGCAGGGAGAAGCAGCTGTGAGCCAATCCGTCCGTGTGTCAATGAAGCAAGTGCAAGAGCAGGTGTCTCTGAAGCGAAAGCCGGGGCTCTTCAAAAAGTGATGTTTCGAGTTACCCTAATAATAAACAATCCATTCTCTGCACTGTGTGCTCGTCACCACAACACAGGCTAACAGGAAGCTTCTGTTCTGCTAGGCTGGTTGATACAAGAAACAAACGTGAAGTCCATGCCCAGCTTGCAAATCCTGGCAGCCCAAAGGGAGGGTAGCTGTGCTCTGTCCTCACCTCCCAGCACCCTCAGCAGAGCTCTGCCCCTCACCTCCCAGCACCTTCGGGGCCGAGGCAGCCTCTGCCACCTCCTACCTGAACTGGCGTCCAGCTCTGTCTCAGGGCCCATGATTTGGGAGCTGTCTCTCCGGTCCTCGGGGTCTTCTAATGAGGCCACCGGGGCTGCCACAGCACCTGGTCTAGCCTGGTCGGTGAGCGGTGGCAGGAGGAGCCGTTTTTTGGCAGCCTCTTCCCGGATGTAGTTCCCCATCCAAGGACCAGACCTTTTTTATTTACCGGATCCGGATCCACTGAATGATGTCCTCCCGGAACCACAGGAACTGGCCTGGGGCAGCGAGGGGATTACTTTGATCCACAGGGTTATGTCAACAAGGTTGTTGTTGGGTCTTCGGGAGGCAGGCCTCCTACCAAACAGACACCATTTCTTCCACCTTCAGCAGCTTCCTGTCTTGGGACAGGCCTTAGAACCTTCTCGTCCAGGCCTCAGTTCCCAGCCTCAGTCCTTACCACCAGTTTGGTTGCATTGTGTTTTTTTCTACCTAAGCGTTTATGGGATGCTATGTCTGTAACATGCCCTTTGTCTGGGGGACATAAACAAAAAGCATTTTTTTTTTCTCATGGTTCTGGATGTTGGGAAGTCCGAGGTCCAGGCGTCTGCAGATTTAGCTTCTGGTGAAGGCCTGCTTACTGGTTCGTAGAAGCTGTCTTTTTTTCTGGGACAAGGGGGCTCTTTGAGGGTCTCTGTTATAAGGCTCCCACCTCATGATCTAATCACCTCCCAAAGACCCACACACACACCTCCTAATATCATCACACTGGGGGGCAGGTTTCAAAATATGAATTTGGGGAGGACACAGTCTACAGCATCCTTTATGCCCTGGCCGGTTTGGCTCAGTGGATAGAGCGTCGGCCTGAGGACTGAAGGGTCCCAGGTTCGATTCCAGTCAAGGGAATGTACCTTGGTTGCGGGCACATCCCCAGTGGAGGGTGTGCAGGAGGCAGCTGATCGATGTTTCTCTCTCATCGATGTTTCTAACTCTCTATCCCTCTCCCTTCCTCTCTGTAAAAAATCAATAAAATATATTTTTTAAAAAATAAGTCCAATCAACTGAAAAAGAAAAATACTTAACGAAGAAAATTGACATTGTTTCATTAAATGGAAACAGTAATCCTACTATGAGTAAGAAGCAGCTATGCTGGTCTGGCTCAGTTGGTTAAGCATCATTCCATGCACCAAAGGTCACGGGTTGGATTCTCTGTCAGGAGTCAGGGCACTTGTCCGGTTGCAGGCTCGATCCCCAGCAGGGGGCATGCAGGAGGCAGCCCATTGATATCTCTCTCTCTCCCCCCTCCCTTCCTCTATCTCTCTAAAACCAACTTAAAAAAAATTAGAGTACTGTATTCTGATTCTGACATCAAAGGTGTGTTTTCCCCCACTCAACCAAGCAATTAACTCAGTTCAGACACTGTCTAGCTGGAGATAGTACCTGGAGATAGTGTCAGACCCCACAGGTTATGGGCTCTCCTACAAGACTACTACCCCCACCCCCACTGGGTCGCAGGCTTGATCCCCACTAGGGGGCGTGCAGGAGGCAGCCAATCCATGATTCTCTCTCATCATTGATGTTTCTATCTCTCTCTCCCTCTTCCTTCCTCTCTGAAATCAATATATATATTCCAGGTTGTCATCGAGCTTCTATATATTAGAGGTTCCCACAACCCTCTCCTTGGGTTCGATTAATTTGCTAGAGCAGTCCACAGGGTTCAGAGAAACATGTTACTTCTCAGGTCGCCAGTTTATTATTAAAGGTGAGGAGTGGGTAATAAAACAAGACCAAGTCAGTACAGCTAAGCTGACTGAAAATGGAATCTGTATAGTCAAGTTCACAAAACCAAATGGGCTGAAGCACGAGGAATAGATTTAATTGTACTTTAATGAGCCTGAGGACTTAAACTTTTGAACTTCTCAGCTGAACATCAATGCCTGGAGAGAGATATAAATCCTATAGACAACCTTCGGAAGAACCAGAAAAGAATGTTCTCTTGTCCACACCACCAGACATCCATGTCGACGTAAGAAATGTCCAAACCTGGAGAGGATTGTTGTAAGGGTTTATTTGAGGCAAACTGACAACAGATGCATGGGTGCAAGGTCTCAAATGCTCCGGAGAACAACAGCTTTGCAATTTCTTATATGCATTTGGAATTAGGAAGGGAACGTAAGGAAGGATACATGAAGGTTGAAGAGAGCAGGGTGGGGCGTGGGTTTCAGGATAGTTAACCAGATGCTGTGCTCTCTCTTTTCTTTATCTTTCTCTCTTCTTTTTAATTTCAGAGAGAGAGGGAGAGCTAGAGACATCGACGATGAGAGAGAATCATTGATCGGCTGCCTCCTGCACACCCCACACTGGGGATGGAGCCTGCAACCGGGGCATTGCACGTGCCCCAACCAGGAATCAAACCATGATCTTCTGGTTCATAGGTCAATGCTCAACCACTGAGCCACACCAGCCGGGTTTGAGGGTGCTTGCGGTTTATTTCAAAGTTGAGTTCATCTAGATGCACAGAAACAATGGACACATGGGATTGCTTACGGCAAGATAAACCTCTTACTAAAAAGTTATAGGCCTAGGGCTTGGCTACTCACCAGGACCTGCCCCGTTAGGAATTTATGATCAGATTATGGACCTCACAAGGTAATCTGATCATCCACATCTATGATCTAGAAAGACCACAGACTTCTGGAAGATCAGCATCTCACACCCACCCAGAGGCTAAGAAGGCAGAACTGCTTCTTTGGAACACTGGCCATTGCCTAGTGGTATTTCCTATTTGCAAATCCCTTGGAAAAAAATCTTTGTCATTCGTTTCTAGCCAAAGCCTCCTGATTTGATTTGACAGAGAATACAACTCAGGACAAGCCAGATAAAAGAGATGCCTAGGCAAGGTATGTGGGAAGGTGAAGCCTGACAACCCAGGGGTCTGGGCTGCCTGTCACTACTTGAGCCAATTAAGCAGAGACTGGGTTGAATCATATATGAGCATTTATTCCAATACAGCGTGGGGGAGCAGCAGGTCATCCACAAAAATCCGCTCTGCCTCTCTCCATAAGCCAGCTCCTAGTGTCAGGTAGAAGGATGACCTGAGAGAGTAGGGATTACAGGCCTGGGAAAGTAGTCAGGGTACAACCATTACAGGTTACAAGTCATGCGGGCTGGGGGGAGGGGTTGCAGAGGGCGGACACCTCCAGGCACCCGGGACTAGATTACAGGCCATAGGGGCTGGCTTGTAAAGAGCAATTATCTCTGGGACTAGATTGTCTCAGCCACAGGCTTGTAAATCTTTCCATAACGAGAGGCGGTTCTCGGGAAAGGAGGCTGGACTGCATTCCGATGTGAGCTGTCCCAGGGCGCACAACTGTCAGCCAGGTGAGAACGTGCTTCCTCTAATCAATAATCACGGATACCAGAGCATGGTTCATATTTGTTACTATTATAGTGAGTCCCCAATATTCTATTTTTTGACCCTAACAAAGGGACGAGGAGCTTCCCAGCTCTGAGTGCACCACTCTCCCCAAATCTCTATGTATTCACCAACCGGATGCTCCCAGGACCCCATTCTTTTGGGTTTTCCTGAAGGAATTATTGATTACATTATTGGTCATTGATGATTGAACTCAATCCCTAGCCCCTCTCTCCTCCCAGAGGAAAATTCCAACTCAGTACTCACTTGATTGGTTGTCCTTTCCCCATCCTCAGGTGACCTAGGTCCTAGGACCGTCAAAATCCACTTCATTCACATAACAAAGATGCCGTTATCTCTCTTCTCATTGGGAAATTCTGAGGGTGCTAGGAGCTCTGTGCCAGGAACCTGGACCAAGAACCAAATATATATATTTCCATGTATTATAAATCATAATGTCACCGGCGTGGACTTTGAGATGGAGAGACTATCCCGGATTATCTGAGCGAGCAAAATCTAATCCTTAACACTAGTCCTTAGAATTGGGGAACATCTCCTGGCTGGGTTAGAAAGGGATGTGGTGATGGCCCTGGCCAGTGGGCTCAGTCGGTTGAGCATCATCCCCGCTGCCCGTTGCTCCCTTGGTTGCGAGTCTCACGGGGTCCCTTAGAGGTGAGGGGATGCATGCCTGAGGGGGAAGGAGAAGGGGAAGGGAATGGCACAGGCGTGCTCCCTGGACAGCGCGCTTGGAACTTTGGTTTCGGGGGTTTTAAAGGCTGAGATTTAGGAGAGGTCTTGGCGGAGGATCAATGAAAATATTCCTCGGCTTTATGCTGATGGACCAAAATGAGATTTATTCTCTTACTTGGCCTGTCCTTGGGTGTGGTTGGCAAATGGTGCTTAATTGGATTTCTGTTATCTGTCTCCCTGAGTAGGGTGATTGAAGCTGTTTTCCCCCTGGTTGGGGAGGAGAAATGCAAACCGGTTACTTTTAAGTGTCCTTAGTTTAAGGAAGATAGGCTTTAGTAGATAGACACAAACTGCTGTTTAACTCTCTGTCTCAGCTTCCCCATTCTTCGTTCCTGGAATTTTCCTTTGCCCCCGCCCAGAAGGGTCGCAGGTTGGATTCCCAGTCAAGGGCACGTTCCTGGGTTTGAGGTTCACTCCCCGCCCCTGGCACTAGTGGCAAGAGTGTTGTTAAAATTAAGAATCATGTAAAATACACAAGATCAGAAGTGAAAAACGGAGCCCTAGCCGGTTTGCCTCAGTGGATAGAGCGCCGGCCTGCAAACTGAAAGGTCCCAGGTTCAATTCCGGTCAAGGGCATATGCCTGGGTTGTGGGCTCCATCCCCAGTGGGGGACTTGCAGGAGGCAGCCGATCCATGATTCTTTCTCATTATGGATGTTTCTCTCTTTCCCTCTTCCTTCCTCTCTGAAATCAATAAAAAAATATATTTTCTTAAAAAGTGAAAAAAAGAGAAAGCCCACGAACTGTGAGAAAACAGAGAAGTCAGTGGCCTGGAAGTGCTGGCAGCTGGAGAGAGGCCACCGTCATTCGCAGCCAGGCTAGTTAAGGACACCAAGCGAGAGGGGGCAATGGGTGGCTCTGTAGACCGGTGTCTGTAGCTTTGGAACCGCACTGAGTTCACACCTGTGCTCCACCCTCTGCACCTGGGTTTTCCCTTCCCCGAAAGGGGAAATACTTTGCTAAGGTTGGTGAGAAGGTTTAAGGCAGTGGTTCTCAACCTTCCTAATGCTGCGACCCTTTAATACAATTCCTCATGTGGTGACCCCCAACCATAAAATTATTTTCGTTGCTACTTCATAACTGTAATGTTGCTACTGTTATGAATCGTAAATATCTGATATGCAGGATGTATTTTAATTGTTACAAATTGAACATAATGAAAGCATAGTGATTAATCACAAACACAATATGTAATTATATATGTGTTTTCCGATGATCTTAGGCGACCCCTGTGAAAGGGTCGTTCCACCCCCAAAGGGGTCGCGACCCACAGGTTGAGAACCGCTGGTTAAGGAGCTAACACAGTGCCTGGCTGTGTAGCGCTGAGCCGGTGAAAGCTGTTACTCTCATACTTGGAACAGAAAACCAAGGAATGGTTACAATGAGAACAACTCCAGATGCACAAGTTCAGGTCAACTTCTGGGCAGCCGCGCGCATGCGCCTGGCCGCCGAGGGGTCCGGCGCGGGCGCTGCGCTGGCGGCGGAAGTCGCAGCCGGGAAGCCGGCGAGGTCGGTTCCGCCCGACTCTAACATGGCGGCGCCCTTTGTCTGCCTGGAAGTGCCGTCCCCGGCCTTCTCGCGGTCGTGATGCACCTCCCTGGGCGGCGGGGTCCGGGACATGGCAGGTGAGGGTCAGCAAGCGCTGGGCGCCGGGGGAGCCCCGCGATCCGGGCGGAGGCGGCGGCAGGCGGGGCGCGGCGGGGCGCCGGGACGGTTGTGTGGGGGAGGGGAGGAAGTGGAGTGGAAAGGGAACCGGCCCGAGTGGACCCCGCGGGGCGGGAGGCCGAGGGGCCGCCGGGCGGGGTGCGCCGCGCGGGGAGCGGGCGGGCCGGCGGTCTCGGCTGGGGAGCGCGCGTCAGCGCCCGGGCGGGTGACACCCCAGCTGGGAGCATCTCCGCCCCCGCGCGCAGCTGTCACCGCCCCTTGACCCCGCGCGCCGCCGCGGGTGGGTGTTCTGTGGCCGCGAGGTGGCGGCGGCCGGGGCAGCTCACTTTCGCTGGCTGGGGCAGAGGCACAGGCCTGCCCGGGGTCTGGAGGTGCGGGCCGAGTGGGAGGCGAGACTGTCCCTGGACCCAGTTATTTCATTCATTCATTCATTCATTCATTCCGCGGACGGTGGTTCATCACCTGATGGGTTCTGACATTAGAGCAAGTGACCCAAGACTGGCCTCGTGGTTAAAAGTGAATCGTGGAGCCAGGCAGCTTGGCTTCCGTCTCTTAAGCAAGTTAGGTTCTTCCTCTCAGAGATGAGAGTTAAGATGAGTTAAGAGTAAGGAAGCCGACAGGCCTCGTGACTCAGTGGTTGAGCCTTGACCTATGAACCAGGAGGTCACGGGTTGGATTCAGGTCAGGGCACATGCCTGGGTTGCGGGCGCATTCCCCAGGGCGCATTCCCCATAGCCTATCTATGATTCTCTTTCATCATTGATGTTTCTATCTCTCCCTCTCTGAAACCAATAAAAATATATTTTAAAAAATAAGACGTTAAGGATGCATGCTATGGCCCACCCTCCGGGGAGCCTTTTAAATCTAGTTATGGAGTTTACATTTTACCTTGACGGGAAGTCCTTTAAGAATCAGATTTGTGGCCGGGCTGGCGTTGCTCAGTGGTTGAGTGTGGACCTATGAGCCAGGAGGTCACAGTTAGATTCCCGGTCAGGGCACATGCCCAGGTTGCGGGCTCAATCCCCAGTGTGGGGCATGCAGGAGGCAGCTGATCAATGATTCTCTCTCTCATTGATGTTTCTATCTCTCTTTCCCTCTATCTTTCTATCTGAAATCAATAAAAAAGTATTAAAATAAAAGAATCAGCTTTGTGGCTATGTGAAAAATGTATTAAAGGGAGTGACCCTGCCCTGGCTGGTTTGGCTCACTGGATAGAGCATCGGGCTGGAGACTGAAGGGTCCCAGGTTCAATTCCGGTCAAGGGCATGTACCTTGGTTGCAGGCACATCCCCAGTAGGGGGTGTGCAGGAGGCAGCTGATCGATACTTCTCTCTCATCAGTGTTTCTAACTCTCTATCCCTCTCCCTTCCTCTCTGTGAAAAATCAATAAAATATATTTTTTTAAAAAAAGGGAGTGACCCTGGAGGTCAATTAAGAGTGTGCTAGAATATTTCAGGTGAGGAGTGACAGTGGCCACAGCAGACCAAAGTGACCCAAGTTAACATTTATTGAGCACTTACTTTGTGCCAGGCTCTGTGTCCAGGGCTTTGCGTTTGCCTGTTTGATGGATGAATGAAAGGGCAGCTCTTAAGGAAGCAGGTACCCTTTGGGTTCTCATCACATTTTGGGTGTCTTTGATTCAGGTAATGAGTGGGAGGAGGAGAGTCAAGCTGGAGTTCACCCAGACAAACTCAGAAAAGAGTAGCCTGGGCCACTTGGAAATCTGAGGTGTGTCTGAAATACTCAAGGATGAAACAAAACCAGCAGGTCAGTTTGTTTGTCCTTCTCAAGGCTCATGGTGATTCAGGTCACCCTTTCAAGATAGCCTATTTTTTAAAAAAAATACATCATTTTTATTGATTTCAGAGAGGAAGGGAGAGGGAGAGATAGAAACATCAATGATGAGAGAGAATCACTGATTGGTTGCCTCCTGCACCCTCCCTACTGGGGATCGAGCCCGCAACCCGGGCATGTGCCCTTGACTGGAATCAAACCTGGGACCCTTCAGTCCACAGGCCAACGGTCTATCCGCTGAGCCAAACCAGCTAGGGCAAGATAGCCTTTTCTTTAAAATTATACAAATGACAAAATCCTAGTTTAGGGGAAATTACTGATTTTATTGTTGTTTTACCAACAAAGACCAGCCTCAGTTATTCACTGGATAATGATCACACCTTATTTTAATTAAGTACAATCTTAAAATGCTCCAGTATAGCAATCCCAAAATACAGTGGCTGAAACAAAGGGAAGTTTATTCCTTGCCCCTTATTAGTCTGGAAGTAGGGAGTCCAGAGCTGGTGGAGCAGCTCACTGTTTTGTGACGTCACCCAGGAGCAGGGTTCCACTGATCATGTGGCTCTCCTTCCTCAAACCGGAGCTCCCACCTCATGGTCTAAGCTGGCTGCTTCAGCTCCTGTTTCATGCATGCACTCCATTTGGCAGAAAGGACAAGACAGAGTGGGGAGCACACGCTCATTCCTTTTATGGTTCTGATGTTTAAAGATACATACTTTGTGAACAACATGTCCCCAAACATAAGCATCTTGTGTACAAAGAATGACTCATGGCTGTTCCCGTACTGGAGGGAAAGCTGGCCGAGAACCTGCTTGGTCCCCTGTGTGACTAGATTGCTGACTGTGGGTCTTGGGCCCAGCCTGCGGGGAAGTGCATTGTGTTGGTGAAAGCGGGCTGGGCATGCTTCCCAGGCCTCCATCTCTCCCAGGCAGGCTGATCTGGCTTGGGGAGGTTTATGTTGCTTGTGCCCAGGGAGTCCAGGCTTGGTTTTGCATTTAGCATTTTCTGTGCCCAGCATGTCAGAGACTGTGCTAGGTGCTAGGGGTGTGGGCCTGAGGAAGACTGGAACTCTTAGCTGTATGGACAGTCACAGTACACGTAAGAAGCACCATATTCCGAAGTGTGTGGTGCACAGGGTGACTGTTGGAATGCTCTACTGCGGTCGTGAAGATGTAGTGAACAGCCTGTCTTGGAATGATAGCTGTAAAAGTCCCCTCAGAGAGGCAGCGACGACTCAGGTATTGGTGTGAGTCCCTGCTTCCCTGGTTAGTGGCTCTGTGTCCTAAGGTCCAATTCCTTCATCCCTGCACCTCAGTTTCTTCATCTGTACAATAGGGGTAACAGTCTCCACCTCAGAATCGTTTTGAGAATGATGTGAGGTCAGGCATGTCATTCACAAGGTCTGATGGGCAAATGTTAGTTGCCTCCTGCTGCAAGGTGCGATGGTTCGAAGCCAGAGAGGGCAGTTAGGTGTGCAATCGAAGAAGGCCTAAGCCTGTGGGGAAGCCAGGTTGCTGACTCCCTCGGGGCAGGCATTATCCAGGTTGTACAAAGACTGCCCTCCGTTTCCTCAGGAGTTCCACCGAGCTTCCTAATTAAGTTGTCAATCCGGCCCTGGCTGGTGTGGCTCCGTTGGTGGGAGTGTCATCCACAGCAAAAGGTGGCGGGGTCAGTTCCCGGTCAGGGCACATGTCCAGGTTGTGGGTTCGATCTCTGGTCGGGGTATGCGCATGAGGTAACTGATTGATGTTTCTCTCTCACATTGATGTTTCTCTCCCTCTCTCCCTTCCTCTCCCTAAAATCAATTTATTCTCTTTTTTATGTCTCTGGTTCTATTTTATTCATCAGTTTATTTTGTTCATTAGATTCCACATTTGAGTGAGATCATGTGATACTTACTTTTCTCTGACTGGCCTATTTCACTTAACATAATACTCTCCAAATGGTAAGAGTTCTTTCTTTTTTACAGCTGCATAGTATTCCATTGGAAAAAATCTCTAAAATCAATTTAAGCCCTAGCTGGTTTTGCTCAGTGGTTAGAGCCTTGGCCTGTGGATTGAAGGGTCCCAAGTTCGATTCCAGTCAAGGGCAAGGGTTCCTTCCAAATTCAAAGGCTTCCAGGAAGCCTTCCCTACCCAGCCCCCACCACAGCTGTTTGGAGCCCCTCCTCTGTGATTTCTTCGCACCCTCACATCATAATCATAGGTTTCCTGTCTGTCTCCCTGCGAGACCCTACCCGGCATCTTGCATGCAGGGACAGGGTCTGGTTTCTCCTGTATTCCCACTGTGTCGCTCATTTCCTGGCACATAGCCAGTGCTCAGTAAACGCTGTTGGACGGATGGATGTTGGCTTTGATTGGCTGAAGAGGAACTGGCAGTTGAGGGTGGAGAGTACCTCAGTGTGGTGTGGGGTTGGCATTCAGTTGATTGAAGAGAGGGGCGGGCCTGGTGGTGTATTTGGTATCTGGCTGTAATATGGGAAGTAAACGTGGAGAACTGTGAGAGTTTAGATAGTTTCTCTGTTTGTCTTTTCCCAGTAGAACAGGGTTTCTTAACCTTGACATTATTGACATTTGGGCTGGCTAAGTTTGTGGGGGCTTCCTGTGCACTCGCGGATGTTAAGCAGCACCGCTGCCTTCTGCACGTAGATGCCAGGAGTACCTGCCAAACCCCAGCTGTGGCTACCGAAAGGGTCTGCAGGCGAGAAGGTCTGCAGGCTCGGCCAAACATCTCCTGGGGCAAAATGGCCCCCACCCACGAACTGCCCTGTAGGGCTAGGGGTAGAGGCAAGAACTAAGTTAGACACACCTGGGCTTATCCTCCTCCTCTGGCTTACCAGATGTATGCCTTTGGGCAAAGTACTCCACCTCTTTTTTTTTTTTAATATATTTTATTGATTTTTTACAGAGAGGAAGGGAGAGAGATAGAGAGTTAGAAACATCGATCAGCTGCCTCCTACACACCCCCTACTGGGGATGTGCCCGCAACCAAGGTACATGCCCTTGACCGGAATCGAACCTGGGACCCTTCAGTCCTCAGGCCAACGCTCTATCCACTGAGCCAAACCAGTTAGGGCAGTACTCCACCTCTTTAAGCCGCAGTTTCCTCAGTTGTAACATGGGGATATTGCTGACCTCGCACATAACTTTAATGGGTGGGATGATTG